TTTTTATTGTGATTTGGGTGAAAGTTTACAGAGCAAATTCATTTTCCATGCAGCAGTTCATACACGTTTTGTCTTGTGACATTGATTGCAATTCTCCATAATGTAGCAGCTCTCTTCCCACTTCCTGCCTGTAGTTACCTCTTCCCTGTGTCCTTCTCTCCCATGCATTCTTGCCCCCTGAGCTATCTCCCTGTGCAAACATTGCCTTTCCGTACTCCAACAATTGATCACTCCAAGGAGTGTATCTACCTGATATAACGATAGAGTGTATCTACCCCATATACCTGCTATTGTTTGGCTGGAAGCCACAGGAGTGAGTTCAGTTCCAGACCTAAAGGGTGACTAGGGGCCATAGTCTCAGAGGTCTCATCAGGCTCTATCAGACCAGCAATCCTAGTCTTTTTTTTTTTTTCATGATTTCGAGTTTTGTTCTACATTATTCTCCCACTCAGTATCTCCTGCACTCATAACTTTTAAATATTGACTTCAAGTGGCACCCAGCAATTCCACTCCTAGGTGGAATTGCCAAAATAATTGAAAGCAGAGAATCAAACAGGTACTTGTACAACAGTGTTCACTGCAGCATCATTCACAACAGTCAAAAGGTAGAAACAACCCAAGTCTCCATCAGCAGATAAATGGATAAACAAAATGTGGTCTGTAGACACAAGGGAAGATTGCCATAAAGAGAAACGAAGTCCTGACACGTGCTACAACATGGATGAATCTTGAAAACATACTGTTGAGTGAAGTATGTCAGTCACAAAAGGAAAGCTATTGTATGATCCCACTTAGTTGAAATAGCCAGAATAGGCAAATGGAAAAAGACCAAAATAGATTCATAGTTACCTGAGGCTGAGGGGAGGGAGGGATGGGAAGTTTCTTATTCAGATGATGAAAACGTTTTGGAAACAGATATTGGTGATGGTTGCCCAACGTGGGGAATATAAGCAGTGTCATGGAATTGTACACTTAAAAATGGTTCAAATGGCAAATTTGATTTTTTTTTTTTTATTAGGATTTGGGTGTAGATTTACAGAGTAAATTCACTTTTCATACAGCAGTTCACATATACTTTGTCTCATGTCATTGACCAAAATTTACAATGCAGCAGCTCCCCAAATTTGATGTTTTATATATTGTTGTTGTTATGTGCCGTCAAGTTGGCCCTGACTCATAGCGACCCCTCCTTGGGTTTCTGAGGCAGTATCACTACAGAAGTAGATTGCCCAACCTTCCTTCCGAGGAGTGGCTGGTGGGTTTAAACCACCAGCCTTCTGGTTAGCAGTCAGGTGCCTTAGGCACTACACTATCAGAGCTCCTGTTTTATGTCTTAGGACAATATAATTAAAAGAAAGAAAGGTGGGTTCACCTTTATTGAACCTGGGCCAAACTCACCAATGTGCTGTCTCACTGACTGTACAGCAGTCCTGGGAGGTGATGGTCCTCTCCTCCATTGTATAGATGAGGAGATGAGACCACTTACCTGACATCTCCCTGAGGGCACTCTTAGCTTTTCATAGCTTTCCAAACTGTTGTATCTGCTCCTCGCAGTGGCCTGTGAGGCAGCAATGAAGACTTTTGTATCCTTATTTTCCATGTTAGAAAACCAAGGCCTCTTGGCGCTGGCAGAAGTGGCAGAATTGGAAGTGATGTTGCTAGGGAAGTGACTGAGAATATCCACCACCACTCATACAGAGCTGTGGGCAGAAGTCAGGAGAGACTTGTGTCCAGATGCAAGTTTTACCCTCTCTCCTGCAGGGATTCTAATGGCAAGAGAATTTCACAGTAATGTGATTTATCTTATACCATAGGCTAGGTCATGTCCATGGTGACATTGGGAAAAGGCTTTGGAGTAGGGGTCTAGGTGCCTGGGGTTTGGTTGTAGCTCTGCTGGTAACCTGGGACATAACTCCACACAAATTGTTATCCCCAGAGTGCCTGAACAATGAGGTAATGTCATCTGCTCTGTTTGGGTCCAGAGATGCAAGCGGATCAAGTAGGAGTATGTCCCATGCCACATTGGGAAGTCAAAGGTGGTGACCCTTACCAACCAGGTAGCTGGCTTAGCCAATGTTGGGGCAGAAGAGAAGCCACAGAAAGGTAGCACTGAAGCATATGGGGGGAGCTGTAGGGTGTCATCCTATGAGGCCAGGTCTGCCCCAGGAACTGTTGCAGTGTTTAGTGCCTGTCACACCATGTCCTAATTTCTCACTGTCCCCTTGTCCACTTGTGTCTCTTTCTTGGGCTGTGTTCCCTTCTCTACCCCAGGGTACTAGAGAAGTTGCTGGAAGCAGTGATTTTTCACAGTTGTCAATCACAAGGTCTGGTCCACTCACCTGGTGTGCGCTGCTTTTCTTATAAAAGAAGGTTTGCAGAAGATCTCTCCTGGCTCCTTTGTCCCATCACATCATGCATCATGAAGAAGCTGATTGCTCTTTCACAGAATAAACTTGCTGCCTTCGGCTCCTTGTCTCATACCTGCATCATACTTGGGTCTCTCTTTGCTCGTAATTGAATAGAAACCCCCTTGGAGAAGGGGCAGAATCCATGTCTCTCACAGCCAGCTGCAGTGACTTGCTTGTGCCTGTGTGCACATGAAGCTCTCTTGCTTTCTTTGATTTCTCCCCCTTTGTAGCTCTGATGTGGGTGCCCTCTCCCATCTGCACTGTTTTTGTTTGGGCTCTTGTTTCTCTTATCACCTTCCACAGGAATCATGGGTGTGAAATTGTGAAAGTGGAGTATTTAATCCATCGCTTCAAGAAGATTGGCTGTTTCCTGACTGTCACCAAAAATGGGATCCTGCAGTTCTGGTCTGAGGCCTTCTCACTGCTGAACTCCTTTAAGGTGAGTGGGGCCTGTGAAACACACATGGGTCACCGAAAAGTCTGATCATGAAGTTGATACACACCCAGAGCAGGCCCATTGTCAGAGCTCATGGTCTAAGCAGCCCTGGACGTGGAGTCACAGGGCAGGGCCCCCGGTTCCGACTTCACTGTGGGCCTTGAGCTTCACATTTCTGCTATGTGGGTGGCCAGCAGACAGCGCAAACCCAGTTTGTCCAAATAGAGTGTCACTTTGTCCCTCCCCACCCACCTAGCTTCTGCTCCTGTGTCCCCATCTCACTGAGTGGCATCATCATCCACCAGGGTTCCCATGCTAGAAGTAAGGCTCTTTCCCTTCCCTTGTCACATCCAAACCACCACCATACTGCTGATTCTCTTTCTATGATGGCTTTTAAATCCTTGGCATGGACCAAACAGGAAAATCAAGGTGGTTGTGAGCAGGGACTCTAGAGCTCGACTACCAAGGTCAGAATCCCCACTGTACCACCTACCAGCTCTGTGACCTGGGACAAGGTACTATAGTTCTCTGTGCCTCAGTTTTCTCATCAAGTGGGGTTAGTAATAGTGCTTCCTTATAGGGCTCTTGGAAGGATTTAATGACATAATATATGTGTAGTGTTTAGAATAGGGCAAGGCACGCAGCAAGTACCCAACAAATGTAAGCCTTGTGCTGCCAGGTCCTGATCAAGTGTAAGTGATAAACCACTCAGGAAGCCACTGTGCACTTGGTTTTGATCTCCAGAGAAGAAAAGCTTATTGAGAATGCTGCCAACAGCATGAATGGTTCTGTAAACCTGGTGGAACTGCAGAGGGTTTCATAATTGCATCAGGTGTTATCCTTTGGTGGAGGAGGGGGTCTGATGTATCCTGTCCTGGTCTAGTTGCTTAGGGAGGGACTGAGGTGGTGGAGGTCCAGTTCACATCCGTGTTCCTGAGGCTTGATGTTTCTAGCATCCCTCCACCCTCCTTTTCTGTGTGTGTATGGTGGGCAGGGTGCGTTGCAACCGGACTTCCTGGATTTGGTTGCTACATGGTCA